GAAAAACACCTTCCTATACATGGTCGGTTTTTCGGCTATAAACGCCTTACTATACATTGTCGTTTTTTTCATTGAAAAATGCCTTATATACATGGTCGTTTTTTTCGGGTTAAAATGCCTTACTTTACATGGTGGTTTTTTTCGTCAAAACGGCTATAAACGCCTTACTATACATTGTCGTTTTTTTCATTGAAAAATGCCTTATATACATGGTCGTTTTTTTCGGGTTAAAATGCCTTACTTTACATGGTGGTTTTTTTCGTCAAAAAAATGCCTTACTCTACATGGACGTTTTTTTTTTGTCAAAAAAAACGCCTTACTATACATGGTTGGTTTTTTTGGGCTAAAAACGTCTTACTATACAAACTTCAACCAACAACAATCAAACATGCTGCATCATAACACTGACACTCATGACACTGTTGTGCCGTACACGAAGCAGAAGTCAAAATGTATGCTGCAATTTGCCATAAATATTTAAAAGAAAAGCTAAAGTTAAAAGAGCCGTTTGAGAGCCAAAAAAAGCCAGCTCTTTTCACTGAGCCGATCCAAATTAACCGGATCACCGAAAAGAGACGAAAATCCCATCACTAGTGTTGACTTACAGGTCTCTGCTGGCGCAGATGGCAGAGTCGAGGCTTTGTCAACCTCATGTACTTGGCTCGAACATATAACATGACAAAAATTGAACATAGATAAGTAACTTCTTCCCGGACTGAACACACTAAAGAATATATATATATATATACATACATACATACCTGTATATACACACACACACACACACACACACACACACACACACACACACACACACACACACACACATTGAGACCATTTGATTCAACATTTTATTTTTCGTTTTGCAACCCATACATGACATATTACAATCTTCTTGGAAGATAAACAGCTTTTTATTCTCTACTCTTCTACTTGTTCTCATTTTGGCCAAGGGGAATTGTTCCAAACACAAAGCAAAGAGCTTAGACAAGGAATGCGACTGGAACATAATGCACACTTCCACGTCAATCCGCGCGGAGTTACAAAAACAAGTGCGCAAACAATTCAGGCCCGTCATTGCACCCAATCATCTAAATCGCATGCCCTCGAATGGTGTTGAAATGTATCCGCCGTGAGGTAAATGCCTTTAACTCGAATCCGAATGTCAATACACAGATTCAGGCAAAAAGAAATGATCCCTTCATATTTTCCGGCGAAGTGACAGGTCCAGTGAGACACACCAGCCTCGTTCCGTGTCAATAATTCAGTGCGTAGGGTCCTAACGGTCACGGCCAGGACCGGCTACATGGTCGAACACTACAAGTGCTGTCTTTTTGGTCCTTTTCAGTCAACAATACAACATTTCAAACGGAACTAGGAAAGGGAGGAAGGAAATTACAAACACCTGCGGACATTCTCAAAAGTTCTGACCAGAGAAATGCATTTTGGTTTTCACATTTTTGGCCTGTCTTGACAGACAAGCTAACAGCTAAGATGCTTAAAATACTTGGTGGGCGCATCCTCAAATGCAGTCGTTACTTCTAGTACAGAGGAAAACTCTGAAAAAGAAAAAGTGGTAACCCCCCCCCCCCCACACACACACACACACACACACACAGCAAAAGTGCTACAATTTGGAGAACGCGTAATGACAGGAATGGTAGTTACTGAAACAAAGAGCAAAGCATCGGGCGTCTTCAAAATTGGGATGTGGGGGGTCGATTTGCTGTAATTTGGTCTTATTTACCCAAATGAGTCGATTCGATCCATTTGGAAGCCATTTTGTTTGGACTTAAGAGCTGACACTGTATACAGTCAGATTCCTCATTTGAACAAAATGCTGCGTAAACAAGCAAAAACTCTACACTAACAGCTTCTGCAGTAAACAGAATATGAAGACTTCCATATAAATCCATGTCAGAGTTTCCCTAAGATGGGAGCTGGGAGCTAAAATTGCTGTCAATGATCCCAGTGAATTTTTTTTTTTTTTTTTAATCATTTGGTCTAGGATGTTTGCATTCAGCGCACCATGGGAACGTAAGATGGTGAAGGTTCTAAGACCAAGACCACGTCGTTAAGACTGAGTGATGACGGCGATTTGCAGATTCATTTTAAGACAAGCTTGGCCGACACCGATGCTGAAGCAAAAGAGGGACGTGAGGGTATTTGGCATTCGTCGTTATGGCGTCCGATCAAAGTCGGTGTCAATGAGGGACTTCAGTGTGATTGACGGGTGATGGGGATGGAAGGTTATGACTCATGCCAGTTTCAGGAACTGATCCACCGTGTCTGCCTCCACCGCCTCGGAGAACATTTCGTAATCCTGCAGGGGGGCAAATATGAATGATTAGCACGAAACTGCGAAAACCACCAAACTTGTTTGCACCAACTTTGTTCTAATTTTTCCTGCTTCTATTATATGTGTGTGTGTGTGTGTGTGTGTGTGTGTGTGTGTGTGTGTGTGTGTATATATATATATATAGGTTTTACTCTATTGTGGTGAGTATCACTTTAGACTCTTTTAAAAGTTAAGAATGTTCAGGGGTGAATTCAAACTTTTAGCCTGGTGCCTGAATTCATGTCGCATGATTTCTGATCGGGAAAATACACTTCCACAGCATAGGTGAACTTCTCACCCCGCAGTACTGGTCATCGTTGAAGAGTTGCGGCGGGACAGCCGTGGGGTTCCCCGCTTTGCTGCGCATCTCGTCGCGCAACTCGCCACCAACCGAGATGTCCACCAGCTTGTACTGGATGTTTTTGCTGTCCAGGATGCGCATCACTTCTGCCTGCTGGGACTTGACCTGCAAAAAAAGAGAGTTCAAACACAGTTTTTGCGTGTGCGTGTGTGTTTTAAGCTTTGCATTTTGGTTCCACAGAATAAAAATGATTAAGAGATCCGTTTTCTCATCACATCATCCACTGCCACGTTGGAAGTCGATGCATTTGTTTTCCGTTCTTCCGCTTATCGACTCTTTCCACTCCATATCTCAACTGCCATTATGGTGGAGAAATGGTGGTCAAGTCATCAACAAGTATTTAGTGCTGACTCCGTGAATAGCAAATGGCAATACGGTCTGCTTTGGGCCTACCGCGTGTAATGTTACTAATACAAAAGTACACATTTCCCCAATGCAATACTAATATAAGCATTTGCATTTATTTAAATCAATTATACATTTATATCATGGCGTTTAAAAAAAATGCACAAGTGGGTGGCTCTTTGCTGGGGGGCTCGCTTAAGGTTGTCGGCCCCTTTTCTTCTTCTGGGAAAAGGCCCGTAGATGTTTTAAACCCATCTACAACCTTTGTACTGTTTTTTTTTGTGGAGAATAAGTTGAATGTCTAAAAGGTTCGTGCAACTACCGCTGTCGTCCGCGGGCCCGCCAGAAGGAAGCTAGCAAAATGAGGCTGGGTGTGTCTGCTGCGAGCCTCGCCGCTGTTAGCTTACCGGGGGATGGCGGTGGGGGGGAAACCTGAAGTTTAACGACGCTCGGTTGAGCCACTCACCGTCCGTGAGGCAGTTACAGTCGTGTAGTACAGTTTAATCCCCATTTTTTGGGTCCTTCGTGTTCTTCTTCCTCCCTTTTCGGCAGTTCTTCTCGCCAAGCGGTGGCCTCGCGTGATCGCGTCAAGCTACATGAGGGAAAGAGCCCGCTGCAGAAGTAGTGTGGGACTTTCATAATAAAACAAGGCGGCCGGTCGACTACACTATCCTTTTTATTTTGAAGTTAAACAATCAAGTGGAGAATTGTAGCTTTAAATGTAGCATATCGGCAAATAGAGGGGATTTAAATTAGAAATTTTAAATCAAAATGACAAACATTTGGAACTACATCATTAATAATAGACACACGATGAATTTAGTTATTGCAGTGAATCATAATAAATTAAATAATTGCATCTTTAACAGGTAAAATTATATAATTTTTTAATTATATTTATTTATGAGATTTATTAATTATATATATATGTTGTATTATATTTATTTATTAGATTTAATAATTTATATATATATATATGTGTATATATGTATATATATGTGTGTGTGTGTATATATATATATATATATATATATATATATATATATATATAAAAGCGAATGAAGTTGTGCAAATAATCAGAATATGAATTTTATTTCAGGCACACAACCCATTCAAAACAATACAAAAAACCCAACATCAACTTTATCTGCCCAATAATAAAGGAAAAAGACCGTATTTGATTTTAGCTCCTCCAGCATTTCCCAAAACACCTTGTGGGTTTGGTGTGGAACCATATTCATCAGCTTTATGGACACATGATGCTGAGGGATAATGTCCAATTAGTACGTTACAGTCATCCGGGGTCAGCTGTGCAGTGCGGCGTGGCGTGTTGAATGCTTGGTAATGTTTTCAGCGTCATTAAGTCTCGAGATTAATTGGGGCGGGGCACGTATCGCCAAGGACAACGAGGGGCTCTTCACATTTGTCTGCTCTGAGTCACGCACAAGGAATGTTTGTGAGAGTCCAAAACAGCCACGTCATTCGTCTCATTCACATTTCAATTTAATTTAAAAGGAGCCGTTCCGACGTGTCGAGCAATTACATCACACCGTCTCTGCCTCATCGCAAATGAGACACTCCTTACCGCTCTACAGCGGGTAATGATCTAATACCACTTCATTTGTCAAATAATTCACGATTCATCCCAACTATATCTTGTTTGTTTATTGGATTTAACTGCAGCATTTGATACAGTGGCTCACCATATTCTGTTGACTCGTTTGCAGCACCTGACGGGCATTGGCGGGAGCCCCCTTGAGTGGGTTAGGTCCTATTTAGCTGACGGAACCTTTTGTGTCCGCAAATCCTCCACGAAGCATCTCCAGTGGGTCCAGAATGCTGCTGATCGCCTCTTGACTGGTACTCGTAAGAGGGAGCAGAGAACTCCAACTCTGGCATCCCCTCTACATTCCAGAGTTCTTTTAAAGATTGCCTGACCTCTCTGAGCTCCGATGCCTCAGGTCTGCGGAGCGGACGCCGTTAGAGGTAGCGAGAAGTAAGCGGAGGCTCCGAGGGGACGGCGCCTTTTCCGTGGGCGCTCCCTCTCTTTGGAATGAATGTTCGGCAAGCCCCATCGCTGCCCATCTTTCAAACTCGTCTTCAAATTCATTTTTATTCTTTTGCTTTTGACTCAGCACGAGACTTGATTTTTAATTTGACCGTTTTTATGCTTTAAATTTGCTCCATGTACAGCACTTTGTTTACAGCGGTGGTTGTTTTAAAGTGCTGTAGGAATACAGTTCAGCTGGGTTTTTTTTCTGGTGTCTGTGCATCGAACAAAACCAGTTTCATGAACTGTATTTTCCCGTGTGGAGGCAGCACTTCATCACTAAGTTGACAAGATTGCCACTTTGTGGAGTGGTGGAGCCAATCAGTGCATGTGCCGCATAAAACATTTAAGAGCCCTCCGGGTCAACACATTTTTACTACTGTACTGGTAAATGTTTTCATCAACTTTTCAAGTTTTTTTTTTTCATGGATTCCCTCATTTTTTTTTGTCGAACACTTCAGGTTTTCACAATACAATATGTAATATATTTAGTAACATGTAGGCACTAAAGGTTAGGACACATTGTGCTGATTTGTCCGCCGTGTCAAACGAGGCACTTATTCACACAATCACGTCAATGCGGGTTGCGACGGTATGCAAATGAAACACTAAGGCCACACTGGGTGGAACGCAGGCTTTAAATGGCTGCCATAGAGACCGAACAAGCGGCGCGAGACCTCCGTGGTGAGGCCGGCCAATCGCTCCCCGCATGTGAACATCGCGGTTGCAGTTGCCTCGAAAACTACAGAGAACACTGAGTAATGAAAGTCAAAGAAAGTAAAACTGCTCATCCTTTGCAGGTGACAGTTTCATGCATTGCTCATTCAGATAAACGCTTTGTGAAATTAGCCAAGGCCCAGCTCAAAACTCCTGATTATTCGTCTTCTTATATATTTTCAGAGGTCAGTCATTTTGTTTTAAAGGGGACACATCGAGGTTTGTACTCTTTCCAATCACGCCTCGGGAAGCTTCTTAAAAAGCCCCCCAGAATGGAAGTCGCTTCTTGAAAAAGGACAAAACACAAGCCACTTGTCTCTGCTTTGGGGTGGGGGGGGGGCTCTCTGCTGTATTTTGTGAACAGCGTGATGGCAAAACACTCAGCCGGAAGGGTTGCGTGGAAACAACACGCGAGGCTGGCTCGGGATGTTACGCAACACTTCTGTTGTCACTGAAAACATGGGGGGAGCGGGGGGGGGGGGGCTAGTCTACACGTACGGCATGCTATATCATTTCAAACGACAAGGATCGCCGCCGCCAGTGGAGTCTTGCTCCCGAAGGCACAGTCGGTGGATTTTTTTTTTTTTCCCCATTCAACCCAGCTCCAAAGTTGGCCCCACTGGGGTAAATTGAACGGCACTTATGTTCACCCAACACCCAGAAGATTGTCAAGAAGACACCGCTGACGGGAGACCAATCGTGTGAAATCCCTTCCTCTCTACCAACGTGTCTTCAAGTCACGTTTAAAGTGCTGTTCAGAAGGACACCTTCCCTTCTCTTCATTAGAAGATCGACAAAACACAAAGGGTCCTAAACTTTGCTAATGCGCGTGTAAGCCACATCTCTAGTGCTCGATGTTGTACCGATAGATTTAACTGGCCCATTCACAAACTGGCCGTTGTTGTCAAGTGGATCGTGTTCCCTTTAATCACTGCCGAGCAATCCCTTTTGCCTACGGGCAGTTCATTCCTCACCGTACTGTTGAAATAATACCCAAGACAACACGAGGTACACCCACACTGTCTGTCGAGATCCATTACAAGAGCGCTACGGCGTACCTCATTCAGTGAGACGATGCCGCATCATAGAAAGAAGAGGCAGAGAAGACCTCCGACATCGCTGCAGTAACAAATGCTGCCACAGGACAGAGATGCTTTTGATATGCGGTTCCTCCGTGTGTGTTCAACTCGCAGTTGTTGCCCATCTCCGGCGCTTCCCATCAAAAGTCAGCATTAACTAGCGCAGTTTCGAAAGACAAAATCCAATTTTGGTGGCGAAATGTACATTTGAATATGCGGTTGTTTCAATTTCACAGTTAACTTTGACCAGGAGTGACAAACTGCTTCAAGCGGGCCCGCTTGGCTTCTTATTTGGAGAACGGTGCAAGCAAGAGAGTCTGCCGGGTTTTGTTTTGCCAAAGTGATGTTCTACGACCGTCTCCCATTACTTGACGGCAGGAGAGGAGGAATAATTCAAAAAAGGCCTTTTCGTGAGGTGTTGAATGTCCACTAGAGGTAAGATGGAGTGTTCTGATAATTGTGTGGGACGCGCGAGACTCAACAAAATGGTGACGACAACCGTCCACATGCCGCAAGTGGCTCCGGACCGTGAATTAAGGTGTCGCGCTCTTGTATTGGAGCTCGTTCGGTGTACCTCATATTTTGCAGTAGCACTCGTACGTATCGGTGAGGTAGTCATTCGTTCCCGTTTCACTTGGACTTGGCCTGGCGGTCCAGCAGCCGTTTGGCCTTCCTCAACATGAATGCGGCGATGAGCAGGCAGACCAGCAGCGTCAGTCCGTAGAGGCAGAGAAAGAGTGCCGCCCGGTCTACGCCGTGTTGCGGCGCGTACACCTGCCGTCGCCTGCTGTAATCCAGTTGCGAGGCGTGGATCTGACACATGGTGCAGCAGGAAAGCAGAATGTGGAACAGCTGGTGGCCCTGACCCAGGAAGTCGCAACCTCCGGGCCACCAGCGCTCCAGCACGGGGAAGGCGAAAAAGATGGCGCAGCCCAGGAAAAAGGCAATGTGGCTCAGGTGGTACGCAAAGGCCGGGTCGGTGTCGGCCTTGCCGAGGAGGAGTCTGTGCGCCACGGGGCTGATGTCCCACACGTAGGCGATGGTGGACGGCGCTACCTGGCCCACCTTGCGCACCCAAGGCGGAAGGGTGTGGTTGCGGTACTTGCCGTAGCAGCAGCCCAGACAGGAGAGCCAGCTGAGAAGCGCCGCCACGGGCATGAACATGGCGCCCACGCGCCGGTGAAAGCTTTCCTCGGCCGCATAGTAGTAGTGCACCGCCGCGCTGCCGTACTGGTACTGCGCCACGCCCACGTAGTCCAGGAAGAAGAAAGCGTAGTGGCACAGCTCCGACTTACCGCCCAGGAGGTGCGCCGCCACGCTCCACGCCGTGTAGTTGAGCGCAGACAGGAGGAGGATCAGCAGGGGCCATGCGTGCCGGTCCCGCGCCAAATCCACCGTCTGGGCCACGTGGCTCATCTTGGCCAGGAGGGTCAGGAAGGCGAGCAGGTGCGTCCAGATGTTGACGGTCTCGTTGTGGCGACGGAAGGCCGACAGGAAGTAGTAACGCCAACACTGGTGGAGGGGCCGGTAGCCGGCACGGACGTAGCGCTCGCGGAAGAAGTGGGGCACCTCGGTGTCGCGTAAGGTGCCGGGCATGGAGGGAGACGCCTCCGAGGACAGCAGACGGGGGAACTGCTTGATTTGTTGCAGGCTGATGAAGAGCCGCCCGATTCGCTCCATCACGATGGTCGTCATGGCGGCGGGAAGCTGCGGACGAGTTCGGAAAAACGTTTGGGAATTGATTTCATCAACTTGATATCCATCGGTAACGTGTTGCGAGGTTCGTGGCTGCCGAGGCATTATCTATCCATCTACATACATCAATCTTTACATGCATACACACATACATCCATCCGTACAAACAACGAATCATCAAAAGTAATCATGAAAGCAAGTAGCGGGTGTATCTTATGAATTTTCATTGATCAGGTGCACCTACTGAGGTACCTGATGACGACTACATATATTATTACGGTGTTTAAAGGCTAAATCTGTTCACTTTGTAAAAATATAAAACGGGAGAATTTACACCATCGGGTATCGCCGACCTGTGAATGACGTCACACTGACCCCACCCCCTCCACTCACGACAGAAGATGAATTGAGGGCGCCCATTCAATATGCATCATTTCATTCACACTATTGTTAAGGTCGCTAAAGTCAAGCCAAAATACCTTTGCCAAGTTGTTCTGTAAGCGTGAGAGTGAAAAATAAGAATTGAAAAAAGGAAAACCGAAGCTATCTTATCTGACGTCGCGAAGTCCACATGAGCGGCGAAGGAGTTGGGAAAGTTGGTTCTTCCGCACTTTTTGCTGTCATGGAGATACAAAAGTTTCCAGAGATGTTTGGCTGATGTAAAGGAACTTTTTCTCACCGCGTCGGCTGCCTTTTCACCAGCAAACAAGTTGCCCGCTTCTGTCAGTCCAGACTCTATCGTCTTCCTAGCCCACACGCGAAATATGCAACAGATGAGGAGGGTGGTGTCTTGTTCCCGGTCGGAAGTGAAGCGAAAAATTAAGGCGAACATTGTCGACAAAATAAAAGCACAGGTTTAAAATGGAATTATAGCAAAATTGCTCATGGGGGCAGTTTACCCGCGTATCGCTCATTTCTAGTCACCGATGGAGAAAAAGGGGACGCTGACGTTCAACTTGTAGTTATGTTTTATTGCAAAAGTTTCTATGTTGAGAATAATGACAAACTCTTTGAAGAGGATATACAGTAAAACTTTGACGATTTGACTGTTTGTACGACCGCATCGTGATTTTAGATTTTCATTTGGTGTAATATAAATAATGTATAATCTATTGTACTGTCATCGATGGTAATTGGGCCAAATTTCGAACAGAGCACTAAAAATTCAACAAAATTCATTGTTAGAAATTAAATTTAGTTCGCTTCGTAGTCAACGTGTGATTGTCATGATAATACGTCGTTCAATTTTTTTAAAAAATGCTGTAAACTTATCCCTTGAAATGTGATAAACTTTTTTCTGTTTTTAATAAATGCGTTTTTTTTAAATATCTTGAATTTGTAAAAATATACATAAATTTACTTTTCACTCATGAAGGGTTGGGTGAATGTGCATATTAACTGCTTGGGTTCGGTACCTCTAAAAAGGTTAAGAACCACTGGTCTAGACTCTCGATGATACATTTCTAAAGAAAACCGCGGTTGGCATTCTGCAGACTTGCAAGGAGTGGGTGTGACAGCGTTCAGGTTGTACAGTACAAGCTTTTCCTGCTTACCGATATCATTACCTCAAGTGCTTAATGATGAACAATATTCCAAACAACAGCTTTCAAGTACTGTACACCTATTACAAATGGAAAGTAGCCAAATTCACTACAGTCCGATATTTTCTGTAACGTAGCTGTATTTTTCTGGATGCAGAGACCTTTAACCCAAATCCTAGTTTTAGTGTTAAAATATCATAGATGAGTAATGCTCTCTGGGTTTTTTTTTCTGCGTAACAAACACAAACAAACAAACAGTAAAGCGCATGATTATATCTTTTCCGCGTGATCTGTCCACTTTCTATCCCAAGAGATGTTGCCTACCCACAAGCGAGCAGACGGCTGACATTTTTCTTTGACTGCACGGGAAAAGGACAACACATGGAGGTGCATCTCCAGCTTTTAATTGGCTGCACTCACATCATGTGGAGGTGGCATTTCGCCAGGAGAATTCCCAGAGTCCTCTCGCCACTGGTGTGGCTTTTTTTATTAATACGCTGCTCTTGTTTTTGCTGAGCACTTTGTTTTGGCTTTCCGTGTACAATATATAGCCTATCACCTCAAATGGGAGCCGGGATAAAGCGCAAAAGGCCCATTTGGAGGTGTTTGGGCTGGCCTTTTGTTTGCAGATAACGCTTCACTTGCAACTTTACAGCTACATCAATCTTGAGATAGTGTTTGTGCTGAATTTGGCGGACGAAATGTAGGTAATATCCAACTGTGAAGTCCTTTGACTTGCCAAAAATGATACATTGCACCCTAATATCATCAGTTTTTATTTCTATACTTTATTTAGTGGACAAAAATGTGTAGAAAAAAACCCCCCAAAACAATTCCACTGTAATATAACTCAAAAGGCTCACAACTCAAATCATCATCTTTCTTTTAGAAGTGCCATTAAACTGTTCCAGCTCCTTAAAAACGCCAACAACATAAAAAAATAGCACCATACGGTATTGTATTTAATAAAACTAAGACTATAACACAAAAAAAATAGAATCTAAAAAAATGAAACTCTCCATTACGATTTCATTTTGAATTTTTAATTATCCATATCCTGCTCACGTGCACATTGTCCACGAGGGGGCAGTATAATACACAGACAAACAGTACGTAAATTTGACCACGAAACAGAAGACAACTGTACGAAGCGGCAATAATATTGGTTGTTTTTCGCAGAGGATAAAGTGTCTGTCTGTCAGAATTGTTGAATGTTCTGTCTGCATTGTTTGTCTAATAAGGTGCTGACTGATGATTTTTTTACCAGGCCGATGCCCATTTGGCAGAAAAATTCTGAAAACTGATTTAATTTACAAAGAATTATGCAAGCTTTTTTCTGCTCCTTCTTCCTCAAAGACGTCACCTTTGCCTCCACGTGGGTATGTAGATTCATAAATTGAGAAAATGTCAAATTCAGTTAACCTCGAACCTGTGGATTTTAGGTACCTCTGGATCTGGAAATTTCACCAGCAAAATCTAATCTCCGGAGCTTTTGCTGAATTCTGTATCGTATAAAACAATGCAGTAGGAAAGCATGGAGGTAACTAAGCATGCCTTTTTACGCATGATACATGTGCACGCATTAACATATCTGAATTACGTTGAATATATTACATGAAAAAACACTTGGAGGCCGGAAATATAAAACGAAGAGTTCAAACCATTAAAAAAATCCTCCGACAAGTTTTTATGATTTGTTTCAAAATAAGATTCTATACCAAAATAAAACACCGCATCGATATTTTGCCGCCGGGTCATAACAAACATTTGTTTACGAAAAAACACTTGATCCAAATCTAATCGATGTACGAATGTCACGTTGACTTTGACGCTGACGACAAACACGATTCTGTATTTTACTTTGAGTTCAAACGGAAGCTTCTCGCCCCTTGCATATGTCTCCCTTGGGTGAATCGTAGGCGGGACGTGGTGTTTGTTGTGAAGTTGGTTTTACGCCCACCCCCCAAATCAGATTAGTATGGCCGATTCAACTGAGAAAGCGGAAACCATGAAGAACTACCATATAGCGTCGGAAAAGATTAACCCACTGGCCGGTCGCTTCCCTCATTGTATCGTGTGGACGCCCATCCCCGTGTTGTCGTGAGTTAAGCTAGTTAGCTAGCCAGCTCCGCGTTGTGGTTATCGGCTTCGTTTGGGCAAAAAATACCCGGATGTGAGCTCGAGGAAGTGACAGTTGCGTCATTTCAGCAAGTTAACTGCCAAACGTCCATTGTTGCTTCCTTCATAATAACACAATGTATTAAATAATGTCTATAAAGCATTGATCCAGAAGTTCTCTCTATCCACACACACGCACACAAACTTAAATTATATGACTGTCTTATTTGTCTTGCCAGATGGTTGTTCCCATTTATTGGGCATATGGGCATCTGCACTTCCACCGGAGTCATTCGAGATTTTGCCGGACCTTATTTTGTCTCCGTAAGTCAGTATAATTTTGATTACAGGTATGCGTGTACGCCACGCTAAGCTTTTCCTTTGTCATGCAGGAAGACAACATGGCTTTCGGGAAACCAACAAAGTGAGTTTCTCTCATGTTTTTGCTTCTATAAATGAGGCTTGACTCACATTCTACACGATATTATCATTTATCATTGGAGGTACTGGATGATGGACGTAAGCAAAGTCTACGCCAGTGGCTCCAGCGCCTGGGACATTGCCGTGCATGATGCTTCGGAGGAGTACAAGCACAGGATGGTAGATTGTTCTTTGTTATTTGTAGCAAATAAATTACACAATTACTTAATGAGATCAACACATTTTTAAAAATTCTATGGCGGGGGGCAGGGGGAAAACAGCTAAATTAAAGCTACAAATATTGATGGACGTAAATATCCAAAGGGTGAGATTAAAAAATGGACTTGGGCCACCCTTATTATGGAGACTCATGCAAAGCTAGCACAGCATTTTTGTTTTTTTTTTTCCCCAGCACAACCTGTGTTGTGACAACTGCCACTCTCACGTGGCGATGGCCCTCAACCTGATGCGCTACGACAACAGCACGTCGTGGAACATGGTCAAGCTCTGCCTCTTGGTGCTCCTGCGCGGAAAGCATGTCAGGTAACGCACACTGAACACTTGACTGTTGCACGCAAGGTTCCCTGCGATGTCTTGAAATGCTTTTAACTGATACCGTTCTTATCTTGCATCGTGTTTTGATACCTGACAATAAATGCATCAGTCTCAAGAAATCAAACAGTGCAAACAACCATTTTAACGGCACAAACAACTGGAACTATTTGACCGGCGTTTTCCGTGGCGTCGAGAGCTGACTTCGCTCACAATTTTCGGAGTACCTAATGAAGTGTTTGGAGAAATATTGATCTTGCTTTGGAATTTTCCATTTCCAGCTGCGCGGGCTTCCTGAAGACGTGGCTGCCCTTCCTCACACTGCTGGGCGTCATTGTGACGGTGGCGCTCGCCATCAACCTCCGGTGACCTCCCCCAGGGAACGTTGGGAAATATTTGCAAAGCCTTTTTTTTTTCTTGTCCAAAAAAAGACTTTGAAAAAACCTGTAAGATACGCAATGCCGGAATGAATGTCACACACGCGCACCTCCACGACTGCCACGGACCACAGAAACACCAATAATAATACAATAATACACATCTCTTTCTAGGAAAACCTGTTTTCAGTACCGCCCAATAGTATTGTCATGCTGTTGACGTGCGCGTCAGTGCCAACTCCCGAGATTAAAAACTGTGCCAAACACTTATTTTACCCCCGGCGGATATGTTCCAGACCCGCCTCACCGTCGCTGTTAAGGACTGGAAGGGTCTCATGATAGCATCACTTTCAGGAAAGGAAAAGAAGACTCATGCACACGGTTCCTCAAATAAGTTGTTAAGATGTTCACTAGCCATTTGAAGCTTCATGTACCAAACATACTTGCACATTTTAAACGTTCAAACGGGCCGTGAAATTTCATCCAAATGGAAGTCTGCTAGCTTAATGTTCACATATCGTGTGAAATGTTAGTGTCCCAATTACAATCCTTCGACTGAGGAGCATAGCGCTCCTAATTTTTGTGCTTCAAAATGCTCAGAATACCAAGACCAGCTCGACGGATGCCACGTTCGTCGTGCAAGCGTCGCGGTAATGATTGCGACGTGGACGGTGGTCTCAAGATAATGTCTGAGATCATTTCAGGCTAGCGGCAGCACTTTGTAATTTGAGCTCCGAGCGTAAATGCCATCTTTACAGATGCCGCTTAGAGCAGTCACGAGCGTGAGGCATCCGCTGGTGTCATGTGTCTGAGTAAGGATTGGCGAGGGTAAGCCTTTATTTTGCAAATCCAGAAGTAGCGCTTGTTCGGAAATGCTTAGCTCGGAACTTTGGTTTGGATTTACAGATGTCACGTTTACCCTGCAAGTGCCGTGGTGACCACGCGTGCTGTGAAACGTCACCTTCACAGATGCCACATCTGCTCGAGTCTGCAGTGCTGTGGAAATTACCAAGAAACACTTCAGCTGCCCTGGGAGAAAGTAATTGCAGCCATCTCATAACATGGCACCCACTTGGAAAACATTTATTTGGGGCGAGGTCAAGAGGACCCCATTGTTAATTTGGGCTCTTTTTGTGGAAATTAACATTATGAGAGTAGCCCATTTTGTTCAACTTGAGCGCTGTTTTGGGGGTTTTTTTTGGACAGCCTTCACTTTCCCCGTGTTATTTTTGCCCCTTTAATTCCACATGATGGCCATCACTCCGCCTCAGTTGCCATGGCTGTGGTTTAGCGCACCCAAATCCCCCCATTGTTCCCCATCAAATAGCTCGTTCAGCCCCCCTCTCTTCGGAAGCAGCAGGTAGCCGGGATGGCTCCTGCTGTTTTCCACCTCTGTACTTCAAAGTCATCTTGTCCAAAAAAAGACTTTGAAAAAACCTGTAAGATACGCAATGCCGGAATGAATGTCACACACGCGCACCTCCACGACTGCCACGGACCACAGAAACACCAATAATAATACAATAATACACATCTCTTTCTAGGAAAACCTGTTTTCAGTACCGCCCAATAGTATTGTCATGCTGTTGACGTGCGCGTCAGTGCCAACTCCCGAGATTAAAAACTGTGCCAAACACTTATTTTACCCCCGGCGGATATGTTCCAGACCCGCCTCACCGTCGCTGTTAAGGACTGGAAGGGTCTCATGATAGCATCACTTTCAGGAAAGGAAAAGAAGACTCATGCACACGGTTCCTCAAATAAGTTGTTAAGATGTTCACTAGCCATTTGAAGCTTCATGTACCAAACATACTTGCACATTTTAAACGTTCAAACGGGCCGTGAAATTTCATCCAAATGGAAGTCTGCTAGCTTAATGTTCACATATCGTGTGAAATGTTAGTGTCCCAATTACAATCCTTCGACTGAGGAGCATAGCGCTCCTAATTTTTGTGCTTCAAAATGCTCAGAATACCAAGACCAGCTCGACGGATGCCACGTTCGTCGTGCAAGCGTCGCGGTAATGATTGCGACGTGGACGGTGGTCTCAAGATAATGTCTGAGATCATTTCAGGCTAGCGGCAGCACTTTGTAATTTGAGCTCCGAGCGTAAATGCCATCTTTACAGATGCCGCTTAGAGCAGTCACGAGCGTGAGGCATCCGCTGGTGTCATGTGTCTGAGTAAGGATTGGCGAGGGTAAGCCTTTATTTTGCAAATCCAGAAGTAGCGCTTGTTCGGAAATGCTTAGCTCGGAACTTTGGTTTGGATTTACAGATGTCACGTTTACCCTGCAAGTGCCGTGGTGACCACGCGTGCTGTGAAACGTCACCTTCACAGATGCCACATCTGCTCGAGTCTGCAGTGCTGTGGAAATTACCAAGAAACACTTCAGCTGCCCTGGGAGAAAGTAATTGCAGCCATCTCATAACATGGCACCCACTTGGAAAACATTTATTTGGGGCGAGGTCAAGAGGACCCCATTGTTAATTTGGGCTCTTTTTGTGGAAATTAACATTATGAGAGTAGCCCATTTTGTTCAACTTGAGCGCTGTTTTGGGGGTTTTTTTTGGACAGCCTTCACTTTCCCCGTGTTATTTTTGCCCCTTTAATTCCACATGATGGCCATCACTCCGCCTCAGTTGCCATGGCTGTGGTTTAGCGCACCCAAATCCCCCCATTGTTCCCCATCAAATAGCTCGTTCAGCCCCCCTCTCTTCGGAAGCAGCAGGTAGCCGGGATGGCTCCTGCTGTTTTCCACCTCTGTACTTCAAAGTCAGCCGGCATCGTCGTCGCCGCATGACGGTGCTGCGAAAATAACAGGGCTAAGGCTAGTTTTCACTCAGTGCTTTTTTTTTTTTTTTTTGCTAGCCAGCTAGCATGCTAGGCTAACAGCCAAGTCTACATTTTACACTTGTCGCAAACATTTCAAACAGACTCGAATGCAATGCAGGACACGAGGCATTAAATGATGCGCACAGAAAGTCATTTGTTCACAAATTGTTGGTCAATCCTGCCGACGAGCTATCCAGCCAACGCCTGATGCTAAGGAAGCAGTTGACATCTTCACTCTGTGCTCCTTCGCTTAGCTTAGCTGCTCATTTGGCATGACAAGATAGAACTCGGCTGGGGTCAAATGAATGACATCGGTCGCAAATGATCCAAACTGGGCTGTTTTATCCCCCCCCCCCCCAAAAAGGGGTCAATCCTGCTAACGAGCTGGCCAGTGACTGATAAACTAATGTAGCAGTCTGCATATTCACTAAGTGCTCTTTTTTTGTTTGTTTTAGCAAGCTAACATAGAAGTCAACATCTTCATTTGGCGCAAACATTTTAAACAGATGGACTGAATGTTTGACACTTGTAGCGACTGATCCAAAATCAATCCTGCTCATGTGAGAAGCTAACAAACGTTCTACTTGCTTCTGGCTCTGACCTTAAAGGTGATAATTGCAGAGTTTCTACAACATTTTCAAGGCCGCGGAATATCACCGTGACAGATCAATTGTTTTTGAGAATTTCATTTTAATTTTTTCTTAAAACGGTCCCACCGCTGTTGGTGCCTTGCAGTAACCAGGAGCCCGCAGGTCATGGAATGTGGAGACCTGCGGCGGGGCTGGGATGAGGGGGGGTGGAGGGGGTAGTGGAATGCTATCAATATACGCTTAGGCCGGTCCGGAGACTCCCAAACTCTCTAATCCTAAAAACAGAACCGTAGACCAGCGCCATACAGAACCGCGCTATCAGGCACTCTGCGGTCACGAATGTATCAACATATGTCTACTAATAAAGATGTTTATTATTGTTCTAAAAAAATGTTGCTGTCTGATCTCTTTCTTCAAATGATTAGAGAATCATTAAGAACCCCCCCCTTTCAGTTCCTGCTTTGATACTTAACCCCCCCGCCCCCCTCTGGTTTTGCCCACACTCCAAAGTCTCCATCAGGGGCCATGATTGTGCACATGAAAGGAGGGCCCCTCGCAAGCAAGTCTGCTCCCCCAACCCCCACCCGCTCGCTCGCTCACTCACCCGCTGCTGGCCACCTGGGCGGGAAGATGGCAAACATCCAGTCAGCATCCGAGCCAAAAGTTCCCGCGATGCTTTTTAAATCCACATCAAACGCGGCCAGGCTCAAAGGGAATCATCTCGGGAGAAAAAGGCGGCTGACGGGACAGGATGCAGTCAGTCGGAGGGAAGTCGCCACCTATTATAAAAAAATATCAAAAAAAGAGAGGCATGTAATTCATTCAAGTATGTTCCTATTAAAATGTAGATGCCAAAAGGGAATCTGGATTTAATCCAGATATCACATTCGGAAGCGATTTCAAAACGACACTCTTGAAATAATCCAGGTTACACATTTCGAAACCGTTTTATAATTGAATTGGATTGAATGCATCCATTTAAAAGTTTTCACTCACTCGGATCCGAATGACACATTGGCCACCAGTTGACCTTCCTCCCCAGACCAATGTGGGTGTGCACATTTGAGAGTCACGTAAAAAGAATTCTAAATCAGATTGCACACTAATCTGGATGTGATCTATGCGACGGAAATTTTTTTAAATGGATGTGATCCATATTCCACATTTGGCAGCAATATCGCAACGTTTATCCAAATATGACTCTGGATCTCGTACGGATAAGTCATTCAACAAAATGCAATTCTGAGCTGGATCACTTTTCTTTTTTTTACATTTGACAAGTGTAATCTAGATTTCTTTGGGATTGCACATTTGGCTGCTCTCGAAATTGAATCTGGATCTTGTTGTGACTTTTGACATGTTAGGATGAGGCCATTTAAATTCCCTGTTTGGAAAAGACAAACCTATTCACAGAGAGCATCTCTTTTGAAAGGAACAACAGCGTTGCGTCTGATGCCCCCCCCCCCCCCCCCCCCCCCCCCCCCCCCCCCAAAACTTGAAGCTCCTCCCTGTCGGATGCGTGCGCGATGCTCTTTTTTTCTTTTTTCACTTAACTGGATTTCTTTGGAGAGGAAGCGACGCCCCCTTTTCTTTCTCTCGCAAAGGACCCCGGCCGCCTCCCACACACACACTTAGTTGCCGACCCCCCCACTCGTGGCCGCTGGTGGCCGCATGCGCTCGGCTCCGCACTCGAGGCGTGGAGCCACTCGGAACGGCAGCTGGTGAAATGTGATCCTTCTCCACTTCTTCTTCTTCTTCTTCTTCCTTTTTTTTTCCTGTCAAAGATGCCGGACTCGAGCGACAGTGGCTTCCTCTGCTGCGCTTTGCTGCTCTTGCTGCTCGGCTCCGTTTCCGCCCCGCCGTCCTCGTCCTCGTCCTCCTGCCCGCCGGGCTGCGAGTGCTCCGAGGCGGCGCACACGGTCAAGTGCGTGGCCAAGGACCTGCGGGGCGTTCCAGTCGGGCTCCCCGGGTACACCCGGAACCTTTTCATTACCGGCAACCACATCGAGCGCATCGGACCGGACTCTTTCAAGGGCCTCCACAATGTCACCAACCTTTCCCTCAGCAACAACAAGTACGTCTATCTGTCCATCTCTCGCAATTTCATCAACCCTTTGTCATGACATTACAATTTCAAAGAAGTACACATATACGTGTGTGAACTTTGCTACACCATGTAAGCTATTGAGCGGTTTTTAAAAAGTGTTTCCATTTCTTCCTGTTCTATTTTACTTTTGACATTGCTCCACGATTCATGCTAACGGCCGCCTTGACCAGAACAAATTTCTATCAACGCAGCATTTCCGAGGTGGACTCGCACGCCTTCTCCGGCCTGCCGAGTCTCCGCTCGCTGGACCTGAGCTCCAACCGGCTGGCGGCGGTCCACCCGGAGGCCTTCGCGGTGGCCGACCAATCGCTACGCCAGCTCAACCTGAGTCGCGCCCTCTCCAACCAGTCGGCCATGTCGGACGTGGCCGCGGCGCTGCGCCGGAGCGCCCTGACCTCGTTGCGCGGCCTGGACCTGTCGCACAACGGCCTCATCTACCTGCCGCCGCGTATTTTCTCCCAGCTGGGCGGACTTCGCCGGCTGCTGCTCGCCAACAACTCCCTGGTGGCCGTGCGCAACGCCACCCTGGCCGGTTTGGGGGCTCTGCGGGAGCTGGACCTGAGGCTCAACTCGCTGAAGAACGTCCCCGAGGAGGGCCTGCGCGAGCTGGACTCGCTGCCGGAGGCCGAGATCCTCCTGGGGGAGAACCCCTTCACGTGCGTGTGCGGTCTCGAACCTTTCGCCCGCTGGCTAAACCGCTCCCGGGGACGCGTGCGCGACCCCGAGGGGCTGGTCTGCGCCTTCCCCGCCGCCCTGAGAAACGCCTCCCTGCTCTCTGCGGTGGGCGCCGCCGGCAGCCTGGGCTGCCGCCAAGTGGGCGCCGGCGCCCACTTGGCCCTGCAGACCTCCTACGTCTTTCTGGGTCTGGTGCTGGGTCTGGTGGGTCTGGTCTTCCTCTTTGTGCTCTACCTGAACCGCAGGGGGATCAAGAAGCGCGTGTACGACATGCGCGATGCCTGCAGGGAGGTGTGGGACGGCTACCGCTACCGCTTCGAGATCGACTCGGACCCCCGCCTGTCCCAGGTGTCCTCGGGCGCGGACGCGTAAAACCCGAGCGAGCCCACTGGAACCCGAAACCCGTGGACGAGCGATGACCCCGCCGCGGGCATCTACCTGACTCCCCCTTCTCGTCTTGTCTTCCAGCAAGTGCCTCGAGTCCGCACACCCCGGACTGGTTTGCAGGTCAATAGCAGAGCGCAAATGGACAAAGCAAACGGAGGTTTGAAATCGGATGACTTCGGGGCGGGAGAAGCACGGGGTGCGCCCTACATTGTGTCGACATGTAGATAGTCGGTGCACGTGCGCACATGTGCACGTGCGTGTCCATCGATCTAATACTGGCAGCAAATTGGACTTGTTTGCAGCCCTTCGCATCAGGAAGGAGGAGGAGGAGGATAATTCAACACAGGCTGAGCTTCTCCAATCCACCCCCCACCCTGCCCTCCCCCCTTTTCCCCCCGTGAAGCGTTGCTTTGTTTCTGCGCCTCAACTTTTATTGTCACAATGATGAGAACCAGTCGCGGAGGCCAAAGCGCTTCAAAAGCCAGCCCCACCTTTTTCTGTTGGAGGAACTTTTCTCCCTTTTCTTTCATGCCATGATAAGATCCAGATGATTCCGGAGAACAGCGGCCAGAGTCATTCAGCGGGAACCACTGAAGTTGACATTTTACGGGCGTTTGCTTTTTCCTTTCTTTCCTTTTCTTTCACGCACGAAGGCATAAATACCTTGTCGTGTATGTTGGAGTCGAGGCGACAAAAGATTTCATTGCCCCTCATTTTGCTGTGCTTTCGGTTATTTCGGGGAAAAGCCTCTCCTTTTTTTTTTCAAGCCCAAGAAGAAGCGCGTCCTCCTATTCACTGCTTCGCGGTTTACCGCACGTGCAATGCCACAAGAAAACAACGCAAAGCGCCGCTGTCTCGACAAGCCTCATGGAGTTGAAACATACGGTGGTTCGACCAAAACGAAATGGAGAGAGTGACCCTTTTTTTGGGCCCGTGTCGGGATCTTGAGTTGGAGTCCCAAATGACCAATTTTCAATATGATCCCAATAAAACTGTGAGCTGTGTTGTGCGCGGGCGTGCGCGCACACAAAAAGTCTTTACGCAACAAGTGCACATATTGCAGGTCATGTCTTGCTTTGTTTTAATGTCGTATCGAAGGAAAAAGCGTCGAGTAACATCATCAACCTCTGGCCTGGTATGCAGATTACGCTACACGTTAAAATTCGTAAAGAACAATAGCATCATTGGTGACAGTGCTATCAACGTCATGTAAATAAACCAATCAAACATACCGATGACTCGCTAAAATGTTTTTTTTTGTTTTGTAAACATTCAAATATGACGGGCAACAGCTGTGAGGCCGTCCATATTCATCAGTCATTCATCACAAACGTCGACAAAAGCTTCCGCGCGGGGGGGTCGTCAGTCGAACGCAGCGAAACTACTGGCGGCTCGTTGGTGCGCAGACGCAAAGGTCGGCTGGAATGGCGAAGAAAACGAAAGCTTTGTTTCGGGCTGGCCCGAGACTCAAAAACCAAGACGAGTGCCTTCAAATCATCTCTAAAATGGACTGGGAGCCAGTGAAGGTTAAGCCAGAATTGGGGCCATGTGCTCCCTCTTACGACCTCCAGGTGGTCGTAGGCAAGCCGCAGCTTTTGGGACCAACCGGAGACGCTTGCGGGAAGACTGACGGACTCCAAAGTCAAGCGTGTTACAGTTATCGAGCCGAGATGTCACAAAGGCGTGGCTTACTCTGGTTTGAAACCCCAAGCCCAGCGCTAAATCCGATCCCGAGCTTTAAAAGTCGAACCCAGGCTTCTCCCGATAGCGTTTACAGGTTGCATTTCAAGAAAAGCAGAGGATCTCGTAGTCCCAGAGAAGCGAATAAAGGAGCGTCGGCGCCATCGACGGCTTTCTGGGTGATTTCGAAATGGCCGTGACCCATTTTCAGGTAGAGACACGAAAGCGGCGAGTGGCAGAATACTTCATCATCGGCTTCACGGGTCGATAGCTCGCCCTGGAATCGAGCGGCACGTCTGGGAAAGACAATAGCGCAGCACCCAAGAGACGCGGTCATTTCAAAGAGCCCCCCCGCAATCAAATCCTTTTTTGCTAGCCATTCGTTTCTTTCGACAAAAGTTATTGGGCCGCGCTGCGCTATTTCTCAGATTTTGCCTATACCGTTTAACACTAACGTGTTGTTGTTCCGTGACACGCTTTGCATTACAACTTTTATTTCCCCTATTTCTGTTTTCCTGAACGAAGCAGTCTTATAAATTCACTAGGCATCTCATTTGGCCTGTTTTTTTCCCCCCCGATAATCCTGCTCGATTGTCCGTGAATGATCAAATTTTAATATCTAGCTAACTCGCTAAAACTGAAAATGCGTTCTTGCTTGGTCTACTTAGCAAACTCACTAGCAGTAGAGCCTGAATAACAACATAAACAATCTTTGAGATGTTGTTTAATCCAGCGACAAATGTTTGAGTGGAATTTGTCGGTATTGGCAAATTTGTTTATCCGTGATCCTGATAGCCAGCTGGCTAACTAGCTAACAAATGGCTAGCAAGCTGGTCTTTGGATCTTTTATGTTAAAGTGTTGACGCTGCTATGATTAGTTGGATAATGATGATGATTAATATTGTCGTCAACTCGTCACCAATGTTTGAGTTTCCCAATGGAGCATTCTAACTGTAAAAAATAAAACTTTGACACCATAAGAGTGGTGTTAATCGAATAAAAAAATATGACTTGGTTGGATTTTTGGCAGAGGGCAAAATTATAAATAACATCATGAAAGTAGTTTCTGTGCAAATAAAAAGCGTCAAGAGCGGAAGCCAACATGACGATGAGTGTCTTTCATGTGAACTGGAAAGAATTCTGACTCCAAAGATGGGAAGAAAAAAAAAGAAACAAGCAGTCGCCAATCCCATTTCCTGTCAGAGGAAATTGTGTCTTTGATGTTAAGCCACCGCACTCAAGCGGTCATCAGTCGCATGAGAACAGGAAGGAAGCAAGGAAGGAAGGAAGGAAGGAAGGCAGGAAGGAAGGTAAGACTCTCCCACTATTTTCTTTTTTGCAATACAGTTTCACCGAGGCAGGTAAAAATTCAAACAATGAAAAGCAAGTCCCACACACACCTGATAGCCATCAGGCCCGATTGGGCGGCTTAAAAGCGATGCCGTGCCGGCGTGCGGAGCTGGTGCAGAGCAAGTAGCTTGGAGTCGGTTTGAGTGGCGACGCTCGCTTTGACCCAGGCCGCCTGCACAAAATGGCTTGTGGAATTTATTTGGGGTAAGTAGCGCTGCAATTCCTTGACGTGTTTGGGTGTCTCAGGGTTTGTTTGTTTGGGTTGTTTTTTTTTTTGTGTGTGTGTGTGTGCAGGGTCTTGCTGATTTGCTTACTTCCAGCAGAGCATGTTCACTGTTTGTGGGCTTCTCAAGAAGGTGGGTACTGCAAAAATTTTTATACATTTATAGATTATATCTATTTATAAAATAGATTTAAATAAAACCAGATGTTCACACAAACTGCATGTCCATACATGGCCTGTGTTTCTCAAACGACAAAGTCCCACTATGTCTGAGAGCTCATGTATGCGACCTAAGCAGTCTTGGGTATGCTCAAAATTTAAAGGAATAGTCATGCAAATACTCCCAAAGTGATCTAAATGCTTGTAAAGATGACTCTATTTTTGCAGCTCAAGGCAAGACATATGTTGGCTTTGTGCAAGATGAAGGCGGCACCGGCAAGCCTCCCCAGAATCAATTCAGACAAGCCTCGGCCCAAAGCGGCAGTCGTGGCGGAGTCTCCGATTTTGGCGACCAACAATCCAAACTGTCATCCTATCTCGGCAGCTACTCGTCACTCAGGGTGGTTCGACGACACCCATTGGGTGTGTCTGGCAAGAAAGCCGGTCCCCAAAAGCCCCGCCTCTCCACAGCCATTGCGAGTTCAGGCTCTCTGAGCAGGTTTCAACCGCCCAAGTCCAACCTGGCTGCAGGACTCAAGAAACCAAACGCAGGCCCCCACTCCCGGGGAAAGTCGTCGGGGTTGTTCTTGCCGGGTTACGGCATGCGCAAGTTCTCTCCCAACATGCAGACGTCGGCCAACGGCACCGCCACCAAAGTTCTCATCGGTCATAAACCCGGACGGCAGCGAAAAATCTACAGAAGTCACGGCCGGGTGGGGTTCCAAAGTCAACGGCAGCAGGTGACCAGTGTGTCGTCGGACGCGGGTTTCAATGGGCGACGCTACGCCCCGACACACGTCCTAACGATCCCCAGCAGATTCGGTGGCGCCCGCATCAGGCGCCTGAAGCACACCGCGCCCCAAAAGAGCCGAGGGGTCAAGCTCGCTCCCCGCCTTGCTCACCAAGAGACCAAGTGGGCCAGAGTCAAGCTAAGGCACTGACCGAGCGACATTTCACTTGAATGGGATTTCAAATTTTTTCCAACGGGAGTGACGATAGCCATTTTGGTGTTTGGAAAATAAAAATGGGTACTTGAGCATTGCTTATCTAGGGGCTACTTCTTACACTTGCAGCCATGTTTTAGAAACTGTATTTAAAAGGACGTTGTTCAGCAGTACAGCCCCATTTGAACCACAAAACTTGTGTGCTAACTCTAATTTTGTCATTTAGAAATGAATAGAGAGCCTCACAAAAATGCTGGTGAAAATCAAGGTTTAACTTCAAATTGACACGGGTGGTCCTTTTTATTGCACATGCTCTAAATTTCAAAGGAACACGAGGCGGACTTCCAAGATGGTTTCATCTCTGGCATTAAAAAAAAAATCTCAATTTAAGTGAATTATTGAAAAGTGACACTAAAATGTACACGTCTTGGCTTTGTGTGTTAACACTTGCAAACTAGTGTTTGAAATCCATGTTCTAGAAAATGACATTTTTATTAAACACATACTGACTACAACTTTTTGCGACCAAATGCCGTGAGTCGCCTCAATTCTACACTACAAATACCAAAGTTGGTTAGAATTTGGTGCCACCTAGTGGCGAATCAATACATGCAACGACCTAACTGCAAGCACGTGCATTTTGGAGCGCTAAGGTGCCAGGGCGAGAGCCTACCACCTATTCCTTCAGCAGAGGTGGGAGCAAAATGTCACCCCAAGCGACGACTGAGCATGCCAGATGTTACATAAGACAATGAGGAGCAAAAAAAAAAAATCACTTAGTTTGTCTCCTTTGGGTAGCCATAGCAGAAAGATGGCGGCGAAACATGGCAGTCAATGGAACATTTTTCATGCATATTGTTGAAATTGTTTGAAATAACATTGAAAAATCAATCATCCCGTACTGTACCTTTTAAAGTGCAATTGATCCACCACATAATCAAGTAGACATGTCATCACAACTCACCTCTGTCAATCGGATAAGACGAAACGATTTGCTGGTGAGCACGCCGGCCTAACAGTGCAGAGGGTTCGATTCCGGTTCCGGCTTTACTGTGTGGAGTTTGCATGTTCTCCCCGTGCCTGCGTCGGTTTGTTTCCACCCACATTGCAGAAACATGCACGGCAGGTTAATGGAACACTCGAAATTGTCCCCAGGTGCAATTGTGAGCGCGAATGGTGGTTCCATCTGTGTGCCCTGCGATTGGCTGGCAACCGGTTCGGCGGTGACTCCCGCCTACTTCCCAAAAATAGCCGGGCGGGATAGACTCCAGCAGGGCATCAGTAGATGTTGGTGTAATGTAATACATTTCGCAATTATTTGCCATGTTTTCATTTCTTATGTCCAAGTGTTGCATTTCAACCCTTTTATTTCCCACCCACTTTACAAGAATGATCAGTTTTCTTCGGATTTGTAAAACTATTAATTCGTCGACGCAGCTGTGTGGTGCTTTTTACACCCGTGGCTCTACTGCCACGTAGCGGTTGATATTTGCATTGCACACGGGCTCAACTTACCTTGAGCAATTGTGAGGGTCGCGGGGGGTGCTGGAGCGGGGTCTTAGCGTCTGTGCGTAACACTCCACTCGTCAACAGTTGACCACATAACCGAATCAACTATAGCGTATTGTCAAAACATGATTCCCCCAATAGTCATTACTCACTCAACCATTTGCCGTTTTTTTTAAGGCCAATGCCACCTAAAAGTAGTGCTTTGCCGCCATCTTGGGGGCATCTACAGTCAGTCAAAACCTTGACGCTGCTGTCAATCATTCACAGATTGGGGGGGGGGGGTTACCTCATAGCCTGGTCTCTATCCTCTAATAGCGGAATACGGTATGGCTTTTCCTCATCGTGTATGCATTTGAGGAAAGGCTCCAAAATACCACTTTCAATTGTTACTGAATAAATCCACAGCCAAGCTCTTAGCAAGATTTAATGTACATTTATTCTTAACACGTGGAACATATAGTATAAAGATTTGATACTGAATAAATGATATTCATTGAGCCAAAAAAAAAAAAAAAAGGCAGGAGGGTTGGGGGAGAGGGAAAAAAATAGGGGGGGTTTTTACATCAAGTTTTTTAGCTACATCATCTGAAATACAAATATGCAGAATCTGCATCACTGGGGGGGAAAAAGTTTTTCTTCATCAAGGTCTAGTTGTTACTCAGACGATTTTTTTTTTTGTCGTTATATTCTCTACAGCCGCACCAGACAGTCTCGTGTGTCTTGTGTGTTAAGTGGTAATTTTTAAAAACGGTGAAGGGACAGGGAGAGAGATGGAAAGGGGGTAATTCATGTACAACATGGTGTGTGTGTGTGCATGCGCACGCACGCACACACACACACCCAGCGCAGCCTGGCGGGTCTGCTTGGATCTAGTGCCGAGGACCAGTCCTAGTACAATTCATACAATCAAAGGACAATAGAGAAGAAGAGGTCGGGGTGCTGTAGGTTGACCGTACTTTGAGGAGGGGGTTGTTAGCCATTGTCACCTTCCACATAAAAACTACAGTTTGCTGCCAAGTCGGCGTATCTCAGTGTGAAACAGTATTATTACAGTATGTCGACACTTTCTTTGAAGGTGTACAGTACAGGGAGGAAAAAAACAAAACGAAGAAAACAAAACAAAAAAAAAAAACAGTCCTAGAACCTACTGCACAGGAGAGCACACATGTCCGCCCCCGAATGTGGTTCCTGTGTGTGTGTGTGTGTGTGTGTGTGTATGCAGGGCGGGGGTAGGGGGGCAGAGCTTTACAGCAATCCCGAGTCCTCGGGGGGAGAAAGCAAGCATCCCCAAAACTGACTGTAAACGAGACAGCAACTTTGGTTACAGTTATTATTTTTCTGGACTTTTTCTATTTTCATTAAAAAACACGTCCTTTCAGGGCTAAGAGCATCCCATTCGTCTCCTGCGGTTATCTGTCTACTTCATGGTATTCCTTCCTTTTCGCGGTAGGGGGAGGAAAAAACAGTGGAATCCGAGGTGATTTTGCATAAATAAAAAAAAAAAAGAAAAAAGGACAGTCAAAGGTTCTGCTCACAAAAAAGTCGGGGCGCGGGGAGAAGAGAAGGAGGACCTCCACGGCTGTCATGACTGGCCGACCAGGAAGAGTACGTCGCAGATGACCTGCGAGACGGCCGAGTTCATGAGTGGCGATACGGACACGTCCAGCAGCCGTGATTCGTACAGCGTGAACTCTGAGTGGTTCTCCTCCAGCCGGGCCAGGGCGTGGAGGGCGCGGGCCGCCCTGCGCATCATGTCCACGCTGGTGGGCTCAAAGTGCGCCTGCATCTGCAGCAGCGTGCTCTGACTCTGCTGGTACTGCGTGGCAGCCAGGCTGTCCTCCAGGAAGCCCAGCAGGTTCCCCACGCTGCCTTTCTGCACGGCGATGGCACGCGCCGCCAGGCTGTCGCCGTGCGCCAGGTTGGCCAAGAGCACCACGGCCATCTCGCGGCACACCGCCACCTTGCGCTCGCCCACCAGCCGCACCAGGGCGCCGTACAGCTTCTCCAGGCGGCTGAAGGGCGGCGTGGCCAGGATCAGGTCCACGTTGTTGTCCTGGATGCTCAGCTTGCTCAGGGTCTCCAGGACCAGTCTCTGCGGCGACAGCGAGCCGTGCGGGCCCAGCGTGGGGAAGGGGTCCAGAGCCTCGGCCGAGGGGCACACGGCCCAGTGGAGGAGGCCGTCCAGGAGGGGCAGGCAAATGCTCTCAGAGTACACAGAGAGGTCCAGCTGGCCCGAGATGTTGGCCAAAGTCACCAGGCAATTCTCCCGCAGGACCTCCAGGCAGTCCCACCACCACTCGTCGCGCTCGCAGCTCACGCCCTCATCCTCCTCGTCCTCCTTCTCGTAGGTCACGGGCGCCTGCTTGCGCTCGGGGTGCCGGTGGTGCAGCAGAACCAGGCGCCCCAGCAGCAAAAGAAGACCGGGGTGCTTGGACATCTCTTGGTCGTTGCCGGGCACAAAGGAGAGGCTGCGCACGATGTTGGACACGCAGACGCAGCGCCGCGCCAGCGAGTCCTGCCAGTCGGCCAGCGTGCTGAGCGGAGTCTCGTCTTTGCTGTGCGGCTCGTCCTCGAGGATCTTCACGTTGCGCCGGCTCTGGAGCTCGGGGTTGATGCTGAACAGGTACTTGCCGTTCTCCTTCTGCTCCTCGGCGCCGCCGCGCACCGCCTCCTCCGTGACCGAGCCCGGCCGTGCCGACAGGACGTCGTCGATGGTGGCGGTCACCGGTGCGCCGGCGGCCGGCGGCAGCAGCTCCGGGACCTCCCGTCCCGCTCTGGTCTCCTTGGGCAAGCGCTTGCGGGCCTTGAGGCGCCCGACGCGGCTCTCGAAGTGCGTCTGGATGTGCTCGGTGATGTCACCGCCGCCGACGCTCCAGTGGACCAGGCCGCTTTCAAAGCTCTGGCGCTGGCCCAGCTTGGACGCCCAGCTGCCCTGGAAGGGGTTCTTCTTGCGCACCACCTTGATGGGGAGTCTGTCGAACTTGCTCGCCTGCCTGGGCTTCTCCGCGTTGGGGTCCTGGGAAGACCCTGAGGTAGCGGGTTCCTTGACCCTCGACTTCTCCTTGCTATCATCCTCGTCTTTCTGGGACCTCTCCTCCATCACCTCTTCCTCCTCCTCCTTCACCTGCACCTGCACCCTGGTGTCATCCGGCGCATCGTCTTCGTCCTCCTCCTCGTCCGTGTCGACGCCTTCTCCTTCGGGCATCGGCATGTCGTCGTCAGAGTCTTCGGCGGCATTGGGGTCGAGGAGTGTTCGCTGCCCGGGGTCGCCCACTTCGTACTCCTTCAGGATGCCGAAGATCTCGATCAGGCACCTTCTGAAGTATTCCACCAGCAGCTCCAGGAATCCAGGCAGCTGCCAAATCGGAAAGCAAAACAGGGTGCCGTCAAACAATGTTCCTGCCTGTTTATGGCTGCCTTCTCCAAACCCGATTGAGCCTCGACTCCATTTCCTCATCCAGGAACCCGGGTTTGTGGAACGTACCTGGCATAAGTTAAACGTGGTGATGCTACTGTCATCATAGAGTAAGATGTTGATGGTGTCCAAGGCCCAGGTGCTCTCCGCTAGCAACCCTGACTTTAG